GAACAAGCATTTAGACAAGAATCCATATATATGTTGCTCGCCCAGGTCTCGCAGACGCAGACGTCCTTGACATGCATGCGCACCAGGCAGAACGCAGTGTGGACGGAGAGCCAGGTTGACAACTGCACCCGACCAACATGGTGGCTGGAAGAGGCAGACGACATCCTGTGTTTGCTTTGATGAGACTGAGCCGGTCCGGTTTTTGCCGCTCGTGCGCGCACGGCCGCTGCTGGGGTCTGAGCCTGGCGGCCAACCTATGAAGACTTTCGCAAGCGCCTGCCATTACAAGAAAAAAGTTGCTCGTTAGCGACAAATGTTTGCTGCCTGCAAAGATCAACAAACTTTCTCCTTTGCGACCAAAAAATGATGGAAATCATAGGAAAATCCAGCTGAAACATAAAAAAAATCAAAAGACTTGCAAAACCATGCTAAAACAAGGGTAACCGCCTTTCCTGGACTTTTGGCAACCAGTTAGCAGCTAAACCAGTTATCGGCAGTTATTTTTAAGCGAAAAATCGATGATTTTTTCATCAAAAATAACTGCGAATAACTGTATATAACTGCAAATAACTGATCAACTGGTGCTAACTTCTGGAAGACCCTCTCCGTAGAGGGTTGGGGTTGGTGGGATTGAACGGCGCTTGCCAGGAAACTTTTGGGATTGTCATAGTTACATGTTCCTTACTGACGCGACGCCATATCTCTGCTTGATTCTTGGCTTGGATGAACCTCCTGAGGGCACCCCCTAGAAGTTTCGCTGGCATCCGATGGCAGCATAACCTCTACGCGGGCATGAGGCAGAATCCCGGTAGTTATTATCACGGTGGGCACAGGCTTTTCGCACTTTGCCCACATAGTTCCTACCTGCACACATGTACTCTCAAAGTGCTATCTCTGCTACACCTATACCCCTTGATCCCCACAGGCTTATACATACGTCCCTCGTAAGAAGCTGGCGAGGCGAGATGGCATCGCTTCGCGCTGCGGCGCAAGCGTCTGGAGCCGACTCAGAGCTGATTTATTCTAATCCTGGCTTCTGAAGATTGACTGGCTCCTTTTTTTTGGCGGCCCCTGTTGAGTGTTCATGATTCATGAGTGAAGCGTTAAGTGACAGCCGCTGCCAATATGATTCAGGGCCTTTTTTTGTATCTTATAGAGTCCTGGGTTTCGAGCTTCGGGCTAGCAACATTTCTGGTTCTGATATCCCTGCTACAATCATTCTCCATCCCGGCACATCACAATCCTGAATCTACTTTAAACCAATGTGCCTGGGAGATACATTCCCAGGTCATGTCAAAGCCTGCCCGCTACTCTGCAGATCCTGCAGCGCCAGACCAGAGAAGCCATGCCCTCCCTTGAGTGGGGTATGCTTCCTTACTCGTGTAGCTCTACACACCTCATGATCAAGGGCCCTGTTCTTTTTGAGCCGCTGAGCCATGTCCTTTTTCCATGGCAGTCAGGTTCTGAAGATTTTGAGGTCTCCCAGACCTGGATGGAGCCTCCTCTCTTGACTGAACACGGTACAATAGTGAAAACAACGAAATCCGCCTGAAGCCGTCCCCAGGATTGGCACAGCTCTGTTGCAAGCGATGGCCCTCAAGCGATGGCTGTGAAGGTTCTCCGAACAGGGTATTTCAGAAACTCTGGCATACAAGACGTGCCAAAAAGTTGAGAGCCTCTGTGTAGGATTCAAGATGTAAGCTTTCCACATGTGAAGTACAAGAAGCAAAGGAATTCCTTTCCTGTGTATCGTGACTTTGTTGGCATGTTGTCATCTGCAAGTTATCCTGAAGAGGCTTCTGTGGGGGAATGTATGTCAGGATTGGCTTGTGCTCGTGAGATATGCGAAGTGAAGGGTTTAGAGGAGCACCCTCTGATTTTGCCTTGTCCGATGCACAAGCAATCCAACAAAAATGCTATAAAATATGGAATCACCAGCCCTATGATCTCAAACTTCAAGCTCAGCGTCCAGCGAAGCAGAACCCTCATCCCCCAGCCCCACAGCACCCCCCTGAAGGCCGAACTTGCAGAATTGCGTCGCTGCAGTGAAGAGGAGGCCTGCGTTCTAGGCTGTGCAAAAAAGAGCTCATGGGTTTGGTTGAGTCATGCGCTGTCAGCATTGCCCTTGCCATAGTTATGATGACTGCTCCCCTAAAGAGCTAAAGTTGCAAAGACTCTCTGGACCTAGATTGTGTTCAAGACAGTTGTTCAAATGTTTGAGGTGCTGAAGGTACTGTACATGTGGAATGCTGCTTTCGTGGAGTTCCAGGTAGAGCCTTCATTTGGAGCATGAGGCATTGGGGCGTAAGGCTGAACTTTGTCTCGAACCGGCTTAGCTCATAGGAATGCAGGTTAAGGCATGATGCCAAAGGAAGCCCCCGGACTTGACCACTACTTGACCAAAACATCTCGTGCTCCTGTAAACTGAGTGCACTTGGGAAGCTGACCTAAAAGCTGCAAGTTTGTTTTCGCTTTTCTTGCGCTTCGTTCAGGTGAGAGCTCTTCAGAAGGAGCTGCGCTTGCGCTCTGACGCCGCGGACAGCGAGCTCCGCAGTTTGAGGGCAGAAACCGCAGCTGCGCAAACCCAGGCGGCACAGGTCCGTGCAGACGAAGAGGTCACCATGCGACGAATGCGCGAGGAATTCCGCGAGGCGCGGGAGAAGCTTGCTGCAGCAGAAGCCACTGTGAGCGTGCACGAAGAACGTGCGAAGCGTTTGGGCGCGGACGTGGAGGCGGAGCGTGTGGATGGTGATGCTCGAGTTCAACGGTTGCGTGCCGAAGTGCGGAGGCTGGAACAAGATCTCGACGCTAGACCTTCTTGCATGTATCTTCTTAGTAATTTGATCAGGTTGTGTGTTGGACACTCCGTGCAACTGTTTTACAGCAGACATAAGCATAACGACCCAGGATGATGCAGCCTCCCGGTCTCGCATCGAGCTTCGAAAACGGGACGAGGCCGTGGCGGAGGTCGAGAAAGAGCTCCGGTCTGCACAGCGGCAAGTCGCCGCCAAAGAACCTAAGAGCCAGTTTCGGAAAGCTTTGTTTGCATTGGGGGTTTGAAGGGTTGGGTTGGGCTCAGAACTTCTTGAAGACTTAGTGGATCGATCGTGGGGCTCAGATTCCTTAGGATATCTTTGGCCTAGACTTTGAGGTCTTTTAGCGCGACGAACATGCAGCTTGAATGTAGGGAGAAGAATGCCAGGCCACACGCCCTGGGCTACGAGAGCTTCTGTTATCTGGCTACATTTTCATTGAATTCTGTCCAAAATGTTCCCTGTCTTTGCGAGACTTCAGTAAGGTGCCCAGAGCCTACGTCCCACACCATCCTGCAATTTCACAGTTAATTGCATGGGACTATCTGCCGGCAAATCATAAAGCGACCTCAAACTACCTCGCGCGACTTCATGCTTTATGTATGAAGTAATCCCCCAAAAAAGGTCCAAAGTCATGTTAAGATGGCCAAAGCAAGGAAGCAGATCTTGGAGATGCTCAGATCCTACACGATGCCGCTTGCCAGCATTCAGGGTTCAGGCCTTTGGTTTCACGGGAGTGTTGCGTATTGGCAGTGGTGTCCCCTCCTAGCCCTTACACTACCCTTTATCTGTACCATTCGGAATGTTGGCGTTTCGATACTTGTTATACGTAATCTATGTGCTCTGTTGTAAGCTATATCCATCAACTTGGAGAACTACGGGAAGTAGGGGGCCATCTTGAACAAGGATGAGATGTGACATGGTCGGCCCCAAGAATCAAATATGTTCCCTTCATGGTGCAGGCTGATGAACTGTGCTTCTGACACTTTCTGATGTCAGCTGGATGGCTCAGAAGCCCAGCAGCTTATCCGCTAGCATTTGACGCAAGTAAGCCCAAATTACCATTGGTATGCGACCCTCGTGTACCCTTCGCTTATCCTCCTTAGTGATGCCAGGGTGTCATGTCTTGGGACTTTGCTCCTTTCCGTCTGGGTTTGAAAGTTAGGCAAAGATCCGGAGAGAGGAGGCCTCGTTGGCAAGTCGGGCAAAGGAGCCGCTACTCAGACTTCTCACAGTAAGCAACTAAGGAATTGGTATTAGGCATTTACCCTGTGCTCTATGCTTCAGATTTTGGGGTTCTCATTTCAGAATATTTAGGCCGTCAGTTTTGGCGAACGCGGGGATTAGGGCATATCCTGTTTGGGGCATATCCTATTCGAGCACCGCTGAAGATTTTGTATCAGTGAAGGGTCGAGTGTAGGAAGCTACCCTTCATTGGATGTTTTGTAGCTGCGTAGCACACGTTCACAGCAGCAGCAGGGAAAGTGACATGTTGGATGGTTGTGTTGTTTGCAGGAGCTCAAAGAGCGAGAGGTTGCTGTGGCTGATCGGCAGAACCTCTTGGATGCGCCTCGGATTTTTTTTACATCAGGAGGGGACCAGCGCACAAACTTTCAGCTGGCAGGGCATGACGGGTCTGCTTGGTCACCTGGACTCCGGTTCCCCCAGAAGGCCGCAAGGAAGTTGCCTATTACAAGCATGTAGCACGCAAACACTGGACAGGACAAGTTTCACCCGGCCAGAGGACCGATTTGGTCGTAGAGCAGAATTCATGGATGAAGGCCTTCGGGATCTCTCTTTCCTATGCAGCGCTTTATGCTGGACCTTTATAATCCCCATCGACAGTTCGGGGACACAGAATCAAAATGAACAGGGTAAAAATTACTCATCTAAGGCCTTTGCATGCCCCTGTTCTAGTTCATCAGACAAGCCATGATTTTCTGGTGGTTACATATACTTTCTGCACCTCCCCAAACCACCCTGAGATCAATGACATGTGCCTGACATAAGGGGCGGCAAAGCTGCTCCCTTTTTTTGTTTGTATTTAAAATTGTGCACCAAAATACGTCAGCCTCCTAGCTGTGACTACACCCAACGAGGACGTGTAGTACTCAAGGCTACATTCACCGTCTTCATAGCTTGCTAATACGTGTCCTGGCTCGACCTAACTTGCTTGGTCGCGACAGAGTTATTGCCTGCTAGCTACGTTCATGGCAATTAAACATATTGTAGCTAGAGCCCACTTTGCTCATTGTGACAAATATGAATAGAGCACTCGCTTGTACGAGCTGCAGGTGTGACTCAAAAAGTAGGGGACACCTCGGGTAGTTCTCATTATCTAAGGAAAGGGAGGAGGTGTTGAAGGGCGCAGAGAGGGTGTTGCGGCGCAGAGAGGCTGAGATAGAAGGCCGCCCGCTCGGGCTTCAGAGTTTGCAGGATTCAGGCTTTCAGGTTCAGGGGTTCATGTGCTCGACTTGGGGATTTTGGCTTGTGGGCTTCAGGGAACAGGTGGTTGGTGTGCAGGGGTAGGGTACTGTTTTCTACATCCTTGATTTCAATCGCGAAGGACTTGACGATCTCAATCGAAAAATGTTGTGTCTCCTTGCGTCACGGGTGGGCATTCTACAGTTGGTCATCAGTTTCATATTTGCTGGTAGGAGCTTTCCAACCATCAGCTGGCTAAATCCAACGGCGTTGGTCTGAAGCTTGAGGTTATACTGATAGACTTGGTATTTCTGAAGCGCTGCTTCCACTGCATAGCCCCACTAGCCTACCGTCATAGTCCTTGTTGTACGACCCCTTCAAGTGTACAGTAATGTCGCACAAGATTAGCAATTACCAGCATTACTCCTTCAAATTCCTTGTGTTGGTATAGTTTCTCCGCCGCAACGGTAGCTTCCCATCCTACCGGAACATGCAACCTGAGACTAATGCCTACCAGCAGTTCTGGCAGCTCTGGCAGGCCAAGCATTGCGATGGGCACAGACCCCGCGCCGTGGTACTTCTGCTGACTAATGTTTAGGCTTCCTTCAGAGGTAGGCTACACAACTTCGGGGAGTTAAGGGACGTTCTCTTCATGCTCTGCACTTTTCTATATGCAGTTGAAGTGAGTAAGGTTGGGTGCAGAGGGAGTAAGCTGCCGAGGGCGCTCCATCCTGAGTAGTGTCCACCCCTGAGTCATTACGAATGTGCGTTTGACTCATCTTCCTTGACGGCTGTCGGATACCCTGCTCCAACCCCGTATTATGCCATATCCCCAATATAACCCTATAACCCCAGTTTCCATTTCATTTCCCATTTTCTTTTCCATTTGATTCTCCATGATTGGGGGTAACATCCCTATACCCTATATACCCCTTTAAAGGGACCTAGGGTTTCCATTTCATTTTCCATTTTCTTTTCCATTTGATTCTCCATTATTGGGGGTGATATTGGGTACCATCTGAATGAGCTCTGGGTTTGAAACTGCCGAAGGATCGAACTGGTCGGCTTCACAAGCTGTCAGCCTATCGTTCCTACGTCACTGTTGGTTTTGATGTCTACAAGTATCCAAACCCCCCTGGATTAACGCGAAGCCTGCCAGGCTACCACTGCCTGGGCTTGAGCACAGCCTTTTGTTTTTCAGGGTTTTACCTGACACGCCCTTGGAGTCCTCTACAGTTTCTTGCTACAGCCTAGACCCCCGCAAGCGCAGCCCTTTCAGGCCTGGACCAGAGATATCTCTTGGACGCAGCAAGTCAACTTGACGCACGGGTCAAATTTCCTGCCAACTTAATTTCCATGCATGGAGGTACCTGGCCCAGTCCTGTGGCTGTTGCTGACAGTCCGGAACGCATGACCCTGAGATGTTTACAGCAGGTGTGTGTGCGTGTGTGTGTCTGTGAGAGGAACTTCGCAGGAAGAATGCTGGGGTTTTGTGGGGCCTTCAGAGGGAGTCTTCCAAACCAAACTTTTGCTTTCCTTGGTAAGCTTCTCAAGGGGGATCCCTCTAATCCCCAAATTCCGTGCCATACCACCCCCAACCACAAAGTCCACCCCAATTTTCAGAACTTGCCATGTAAGATTCAGGTCTTGAAGGAGCCCACTTTTGACGAGTTTGATGATGGTACTTGAGTAGGCAGGTCCTAAAGGTGTGGTCTGGGAACCCACGAACATCGTGTAGACTATTACCTACAAGCCGATTCTGAAACCCCAGTACATCCAGCCAGCTGAACTCGAGTTATAAACATGCTTGCCTGTTGACTTTCGATACAAGAGACTCAATGAGGCATAATCTTGGGTCAGGAACCGTTGGAAATTGTGCCTGCTTAGATTCAGGTCCAACACTGGCAGCGACGGCGCAGCCAGAGACGGCAACAATGCAGCAAAGTGCCGGTAGCAAGCGCCGTGGCTGCACGTGCTCCTCCAAATGCAGGATATAGGGATTCTGTTTAGGGTTTGTTCCTTTGCAGATCATTGGGTTTCCTACTTTAGTGGGCCTTGGTATTTGGGTTTTTGCCATCTGTGACGAAAAGAAAGACGCGCGTGCAGGAGCTACTTGAGGGCACTCTGAAAGACTGAAGGCAGGGCCCAATTCACAGGGAGCGTACTCGGACGTCATGCTCCAGCTACCAATACGCTGCCTGAAACAACCCAGACATGACGCCCGTCTTTCAGGGAACGAGGCCGACATCAACAATCTTGGGACTTGCATCCGCGCAACTGACAGGTATATCTTAAGTCGCTACCCTAAATGCGCCGCGACCACCAAAAACCAAAACAATAGCAGCATAACTGTAATTTTTAGTTGGGCTCACCGGAGATGATCCTGCTAGCATGCTGTCTCGCGCGTAGCAGCGAGTCACCAAGCGCTACCCAGTGTCCCCCTGTCCCCCAGAGTTGGCCTTGGCAGAGCTGTGAATGAAGCTGACAAGCTAAAGAATTTCTAGCATGATGGTGCTTTACTCGAGACATTGAAGGGTTTTAGCCGGAGTGATGCGATGGAGGTCTCTGAATACATAAATGGGTCAGACTAAGCTCAGTGGTCCATCCTAAGCAGGGCCTGTGGAACCACACCACTTATGGTGTATTCTAAAATTGGCATCCTTTTATGCCTCCAAGAAGCATAGATCGATGCATAGAGTCCTTGATAAGAAAATAGGCAACAGTCTTGATTTTGCACATCCCCATTGAAATTCTCGCAAGTAGTAGTCCTCATCGCTTCTTTCATCGGGATCGCCAGAGTTCTTTTGTAGTTCCAACATTGAAGGCTGCCAAAATAGATCCCGACATACCATCATCCTTCGTTCAAGAACGAGAGGCCCCTGAGTTGTAATGAGACCCAGACATCTTAAGAAGGCCGTTGCTTCGAGGGCTTTACCCAAGGCCAGGCGCAGTCGAGTCGTTGGACCTGTCGCCCGATGCTTCTCCTGAGGTGGGCGCTGTGGACTGGTAATAGGCCTAGCTAGGGATCAAATTGAAGACCATGTATTAGCCCAGTTTCCATTTCATTTGCCATTTTCTTCTCCATTTGATTCCCCATCATTGGGGTAATATCCCTACATACCCCTCAAGGGTGCTTAGACTCTTTGTTGATCCATATCCCCAGGGTAGGTTTTAGGGCTCAGAGTTTGATGGCGAGATAGCTAGAGGTTCTCAATTGTAGTTTTGATAGGCGCTTTGCTGTTACCAGGCTGAGAAAACAAACATCACAAGACAGCAACTAGCCGATCATGCACGAATTATGTGGTAGTTTCTGTGGTGGCGATTAGGTATTTGTAGTCGTATGCAGATATGTCATAAAAGGATATTTCGTTCGGTACTGGAAGCACGAAGGAACGCAACTAGCAGTAATGGAGCTCTGCGACTTGCAGCTCTTCAGCGTGAAGTCCAGGCCTTCAAGCTTTAAAGCAAAAAGCCTCTTGCTAGTAAGGCTTTTGGCCCAACATACTTAGGACATGAAAATGAGTACCTGAGCAGTTGGACGAAGGAAGGTGCCCTAGCTCAGTGGAGTCGGCACAGGGAAATTGCAGAAGCCTAGGCAAGGGAAGCAGGTATTGACTGGAGTCTTAGTACCCATGCTTTCTAGAGCTGAGAAGGGATTCGTAAGCCAGAGAAACAAGGTGGGTAAGCTGAATTTACAAAGCCGTGTGCAAGATTCTTGTTGTTAGTAGTAGTATCACAGGGTCCTTATGGTAGTTGCTATGGTTCTTTTATGCTTGTACTGCTTGTTGTTGCCCTATCAGCTTTATGCATGTGGCTTTCATAGTGTACATGTTGGTGCATTGGTCCGAGACCAGTGCGCCACAACAGCATGTGCAACATGCTGTTGCAGCAGGACCTTGCACTGAACAAGAAACGATTAGGATGGGAAACCCTAGTCAAGCAATGAGCACCTTTCAATGTCGGACCAATTCGGAACAGTATGGTCCACCTTTAGGGTGGCATGGCCTACGCCGCCTACTGTGACGACCCTGCAAGCCTTCACAACACGGATATGTTGAAGGGTTCGGCCCGATCGGAGCGTCTGGCCGAGAACTATGGGCTCGAAGCATGTGACCATAGAAACTTTGATGCGCAACACCCCGCCAGAAGTTTCCAATTAGGGTTGCCCATTTGCTCAGTCTTGGGCGTAGGAATTTCGTTCGGGACATCCTTCGGCAAGTGCGTTATGCATATATCGTGCCTTGTTTATATGACATCCATTACAATTCAGCCGCCCTCAGCCTTTTCATGGAAGCTCGAAGACTGGCATTTCTCAAGATTGGGTTCCCTTCACTTCATTCCAATTTCCTCCAAGACTTCTCATTGTAAGAATGCCCAAGATCCCCTTTGAGAAAGGCAGACGCACTTGGCCAAAGTCCTGAGAATTTGCTGCATGCGGCCAACCTGCCTGGAGAGGTCCAGAAGGGCTTGGCTTCAGGTTTCAGGGGGTTTGGGGTTTGACGGTATAGAGGTGTATAAATTTTCAGGTTTGAGTTATACAGGCTTAGGGGTAGAGCGCGCATTGCGGTATCGGTTTGGTCGGTTTAAACGCTTAGGATCTTTGAGGTTCAGCGTTTACCGTTGTATACAACTCCCTTGCCAATCCTCAGGCTTATGTAGCATTTATTTCAGTGGCACATCCAACACATTTGCAATGCAGATTAGCAAACATCGTGCCCGCAGGATGGTTCAGTGTTGATAGGGCGGGTGGCCAGAAATTGTTTTGCACGTGTTCGGCTCATCATTCCTGTATAGATGATGGATTACAGATGATTACAGTTTTGGAGCTCAACTCGGAACTGGCAGTGGCTTGTTGGTGATGGCCAATTTGGGAGCTGCGGCCAGTAGTTTCTTAGGCATGCCGGCTCATGGCAACCAACACTGGCTGCAGAATGCCTAGATCACAGTTCGGATTGGTGCGATGCGCGCCTAAAATCCAAGCCAGACCCTCCAACAATAAACCTCGCCTGGACTTGGTGGAATCGACAGTCCTTGATTTAATTCCTGGCTCTCACACTCCAGAAATCTTAACAGAAGGCGGGTTCCGTAGGTGCATGTGCTAAGCATGAAGTTCTTTGAATTGCAGGCCATGCCCCGGTTGGATCAGAAGGAGCTGGATGCCGAAATTGAGGAAATGCTCGCGGCATCCGTGGTCACCATGAAGCCTCAGGTGTGGATGGGGCTAGGTCGGGTACACCTGCATGACTTCGATGAGATAAATGGAGATTCATCTCGCAGAGTCCTTGCTGCAGCCCTACACCTTTGCATGCGCGTGTGCTTACTTTCGAGTGTCATGTCTGCAGAAGCTCCTAGCACTGTAGATCAGAGCCTTCGCCCAACTTGTTACGTTCCCTTGCTGGAACTGATGTCATGAGTCTTGTTTTGCTGTGGTCTCTCTGCCTTTGTCTCTGTCTGTCTGTCTGTCTCTCTCTCTCCCTCTCTCTTTGTCTGTCCGTCCGTCCCTCCGTCTGTCTGTCTCCCCATCAGTGATGCTGCTGATGCCCACGTTGCAGGCTGAGCGGACGATTGGCCCTGCCAGCTACTAAGCCTCACTGCTGTGCTGCGGCTGTCTTGTGCTTGCGTCTTTGGCACAGCTGAGGGCTGCTTCACCTTCACTGTATGTAAGTTTGGTAATGCTTCATGCTTGTGCTCGTTCTATGTTGCCGGGGAGGATGTCCTGCTGCAATGTATCTTCTGTGTCCTCAAGGTTTTTTGAGAGCAGCAGGGCAATTTTCCATCACAGCCGCCGCATCATCATGAGCTCCGAAGGACGCTTGGCCGTTGCTGGCGTGGTTGCCGGAGCTGCTACCATGGCATGTGCTTCGGCCTTTGTCAGCTCCGCGCCCCACTCCGCCAGCAGCCCAGCCCTGCGCGCTAGCTCGGCAACCCCGGCAACGCCGGCAACTGCCAGCACAGCGCCGGCCCCAGCTGCAAACGCCGTTGGCATCGCTGCAGGATTGGTTGGGACTCTCGGCATGGTCCAGGCAGCCAAGAACCGAAAAAGGACTCGCGTGGCCCGCTGCCAGCAGGCTCCCCGCCAGACGGCAGTGGCTGAGCGCAAGACCACCGACCTGTCCGGTGCTCTGCCCGACTGCCCTCCCACCATCTGGAATGCTGATGACATTGACATCCAGAAGCTGCCGCCTATCAAGGAGACTGCTCCCCTCATCATCGATGCCGCTGAGCTCGGGGATGAGCTGAAGAAGGGAACGGAGAAAGAGTGGTTTCTTGCCCAGCGAGAGAAGATCATGGCACAGCTGCAGGAGCACGGTGCCATCTGGTTCCGGAACTTTGAATCCACCAAGGATGCCGAGGGCTTCCGGGCCTTTTACGAAGCGCTGCAGCTGAACCCATGCCTGGACCCCATCCACACTTCAGGTCTCCGAGCTATGGAGGTGCAGAAGCATGCTGTCTACGAGGCGGCGCTTAGTATTTGTCAAAAGTAGGGTGGCCCAAAACATCCCAAAACCATACGCTGAGAAGAGGGACATGCGCCTAATTCGACTTTTCTGGACTATTTGATTCATACAGCGGCCCAGTTACTACTGGTAATAACGAGCAACCCCTCAGGCAGTCAACAAGCCATCTCTTGCCCAGCATTTCGTTGGCCTCCACAATGAGTCCACCTTTGCGACTGATGCCCGAAGCAGTAAACATTTGCTTTTTGTGACTCCTTGTCGAGAATTCTATTGTGCAGCTGATGAGAAACCACATGCTCGAAGAGCCTGCATTTGTGGGCACTGTTGCTGGAAAGTAAGTCCTTGATTTTTAAGATTTTCAACATGCATTACAAAAGACAATCCCCCTCGCAAGGACGCCAAACGATACCTCACTCTTGAACAACAGATCGTAGAAAACTTGAAAAACTCAAGGCGCGAACACCACCGTTGAACTAGCCCAATTCACTTCACTGGAAGACAGACAGTTCCTAGGTATTGATTTCCCCCCGAAGTCTAGAAGTCTGCAGGTGAGGGCTGCCCATGACCCAAGACTTTCAGAGCTTATAGCAAAACCACTGGTTCGCCGGACTTCAACTCCTCGCGATCTTCGCGCCCTGCAAAGCAGATCAGAAGTACTGGCCAGAAGCTTCCGTGCTAACTTTGAACCCTCAACGTCCTTTGAAACCACTTTTCTGCTGCGCAGAAAAGCAAAACTAATCTCCAACAAGGAACTCCTTGCAATTTAGATGGAAGAGCAGTGTATGACTGGGTCATTGTCAATGATATCAGGAAAAGAAAACAGCATGATCGTGAATAGCATCACAACGGCAAACCAGATGAGGTGAAGACAGCCACCTACGGAGCGTTCGTGTGCTTCGAGCCAGCCTCTGAGGGAGGTGGTGAGTTCTTCATCGCAGATGGAGCCAAGATTGTGAACGACTTGGACAAGGAAAATTGGCTGAGGGGTGACAGGGTGCGTGTATGCTGGCTGGAAGCAAATGGTTTAGCGTTCAGGTTTGTTGCGGGTTCAAGAGGTTCAAGGTTTAAGGTCAACGGGTTGGATTGGCTGTTGGCTGCTGTTAGCTGCTGCTTGGAGTGTACCTCCTTGTTCTTGGCACTGGGGTTCAGCTTTGACTCCCGCAGTCTGTCTTTTATCCCTCTACAACCTTAGGGTTCAAGACGGCTACTTGAAGGGACCTTAGTTGTTGCGCTCTCTTGAATATTAGGAATTAGCTAGCTGCGTGGGGCTAAGGGTTTAAGGAACAGCCTTGTCAGTCCAAACACGCACAGAAGGCAGGGGAAAAACAACGAGGTTTTGGTCATGATAAGCTGCTAGCTGTTCGGCTCTTTCTCAGTCTTTGCACTACCTTGGATACATGTTTGCTAAGCGCAGTGGCATAGTGAGAGACAGCTCCCCCTCCCACTCTCAATGGATCCTTTCCTGAAGGATGTTTTGAAGAGGATCTACGAGAACAAGGCGCTCCTGTTGCAATTTTGTTTCTTTGGAGTAAGACAAAAAGTGTTCGAAGCGAGTCAAGTGACGGACGGACTCTCCTGTAGGGAATTATGAGTTCGAGAAGCACTCCTTTATTAACCTCCGTGCCCGAAGGTACAATTAGTCCCAGCTTGAACTGAGACCTTTTTTTATCAGCCGTCTGTACCGCCCATGAGACATCTTGAAGATGCTACAGTAAAGAGTCGTGGGCCCGATTCAACTCGGCAAAGCAGTCTTGAATATAGCCCGATACTGTTTCTTTGTGAGGGCTACTCTTGATCCGGATGTGGTGCACTTCAAAGTCCCCAGTTGGTCAGGTTCGAATCTCTGTGAGCAATCTCGACCTCAACTTCCTCGGAGGTCTGCCAGATGGCTTCCGCGAGCAGGCAAAGCGCATGAGCTGTTGACTGAACTATCATATAGCCATATGAAGAGCACGGGAAATCATTAGCAATACTGAGCCAGGCTCCTGCAGCCACAGCAGCAGCAGGTGTCATGCCAAGCTGCCATTGCCCAAAACCATGGATACTTCATCCTAAGCCCCGCACGCATGATCATGACTTCAGTAGGGAATCACATTTGCAGCCCTCTGGAAGCAGCAAGCCAAGCCTGTAGGCCCCGAGCAAAAAAAAAGAGAAATCGTGCCCGAGCAATTTGTCAATGGGCATTGTGGCAACTAGCCTGGGGTTATGTGTAATAGACTTACATAAGGAGATCGAAATGCTTTTGCTGTGGGCCAACGGTGGCCCACGTGGAAAACGAATCCCTACGCAACTCCGGAAGAAGCTGTATAGCCTCGTGAAGTTCATTGACATACCAACGCCAACAGATTCCCTGCCTGAAACGACTGCCATACTCCAATTCACCACACAACCCCTCTAGCCAAGTTGGCCTTGGCAGCCAAATCGTTAATCATCTCGGGCGGATGCCTTAAAAAAGCAAACTTGACGCGCTTTTTTGCTGTCTTGGGCTTCGCAGTTGTGTCCTGAGCAGAGACCACTGCCCTTGTCTCAGATCTGTCAGGCCTCCGAGTTCCTTCAGGATCTGATCCTGAAGGTAGGGAGGTGTCAAAGTTTGTGAGTTTTTGGGGCATGCTTAGTGGTGTTCTTAGAGACTTGGCTTTCTGGAGGTTGGATTTTAATGGGTTATGATTTTGAGAACCTCGCATGCCAAGTTTCCGGTTGCTTCAGATTGCGTGAGGGGGCCCCAATGTATGCGTTGAGTAATTTCCTCCCTCCAGAACAGCAGTTGACCAATAGTACGCCCTTAATTCTAAGAAGATTGCGGATTGTTTCTGGGTAGACTGTACTCCAAGATATGCATGCGCTCCATCATCTGAACTCCTTAAGGGAGGTTATATAAGTGATTATATAGGGCATTACTATAGGGTTCTGAAGGTAGATACCCCGAGTTTAGACTATATGGCTTATGTAGACAGGTGGTTGCTCCGAAGTTCGAGATGGATTTGGAGATGATTTTCGGCGCTGACCAGTCCAACCCATACCGCCTGCAGGCCATGACGGGCTACGGTTGCAGGGTCACGTTCTGTGTGTCTCTGCCTAACTTGGCTTTCGGAACTTCTAGATGGGCTTCCCCACCATCTTTTCAAGGCAGGTCTATATGTCGGTGCTAGGCTTTTGTGGCGTCGACCCTGCACCTTGTGTTTCCCTGTGCTTCTTTGTTTTTCAAAAAAAGCAGGCCATTGAGCACGCCCAGTCACCGATCAACAAGCACCCGGTGACAGGCCACCACCTCGTGCGGTCCAAAAGTTGGATATGTAAAGTACCGTTACTGGAACTGTCGTTATTATTGCTGGTAGTCGTAGTAGTGGAAGTCGGGGTAGCAGTAATTAGTTGTCCTGGCGGCGGCACCGGTGCCGCTGCCGCTGCTGGTGGTGGTGCTGCTGCTGGTGGCGGCGGCTAGGAAGAGTAACAGGAACGGAAAGGGCTCCACCAATAATACCCAGTATAATACTAGACCAGTACTAGAATGTCCAATGTCAGACATGTTTAACCACCTTCATGAAGATCGTAGTCGAAAATGGCAGCTGTGGTCACCTAAACTTTGCCAACCCAACAGTCAGAGGTCAGCCTGTGTGGTTCTGCAACTTGCACAACCACAGCCGTTACTTGCGTGACCGCCGACCCTGCACTGTGCCCGAAGTGGGGATGACGGACGTGTACAGCGGAGACCTCTCCACCATCCCCTACGACGACGTCCGGCACATCAACGAGGTCCATGGGTTGTTGGAGGTTGAAAATTTACAACAGCTGCAGTCACAACCATCCTACAAGCTGATTTTGAGCTTCAACTCGCACATGCACAAACACCTAATATTTTGAAGTACCAAACCTTGACATGATGCAGGTCTGCGAGCGAAACCTGGTCACGATGCCCATGAAAAAGGGTGACGTCGTCCTGCTTGACAACTACCGTGTTCTGTGCCCGGCCGAAACCTATGTCATACCTGCTTCTTGTGGTTTCAAAATATTTGCATGTTTAAGGTGGTCTTCGCATACATACTTGGAATCCAAAACCTATCTAGATGACCGTCGCTTGTACATGAACAGCTAGCGAATAGCCATAGGCTGCTTTCTTGGAAACACCTCCTGACTTTGAATAAGTCTTGCACTCCAGAATTGCCTGTGCATGTTTTCCTGCTACTGGGGGAATAACCAAAACTAGTACAGTGTGAGGGACGGAGGATTGCCCACTTGTTTTGATAATTGTCTACCCATACAGGTACGCGTGTCCCTGACACGGCGCATGCAGCGCTGGAAGGTTTTGTTTGCCGTAAGACAAGATTGATTGGGTGGAGCCCCCACTCTGTAATAGTTGCTCGGTGGGGGGTCCACCTAATTAACAGATTGACTTGGCAAGACCGATGGTTGCATCTTGACAACCAAGGCATGGCCGCAACACCTTCCAGGGTGACCGCAAGCATGCAGTTGCATGGCGTGTACTTGCAAGCTTTGGGATAAGCGCAGACATGTTCGAAGTAAGCCTCAAGGTTTGCATAAACCATTTAGAACATAAACCGTTTAGGACATACCATGGAGGTTTCGCCAGCATACAGGATCACAAAGTCATAGCTTGTATCTTTCCAAAGCGAGAGACTACCATGCAGGTGTGTGTCACATGCGGAGGGCCCTGCCCTTCGAGGTTAGCGGTGCTTTTTACTCGAGCTTCAAAATGTTTATTTGAGAGCACGCCTCCAAGAACAGCCAAGGTTACCTGGTTCGAGTCCTGCGGTGAACCCCTGCAAAGGGATGGCTCGTCCCAGGACAACCAGCAGCTGAACATGGTAGGCAGCAGTATACGTGGGACCCATAATTTTGTCATTTTGCTAGAGGCCCGTATACGAACATATAAGTGCATGGCTTCAGCCTTTGTACTGCTGGAAGGTCCCCCTTGAAGCCTTGTTGATTTTATTGGAGCCCCTTGTCCCGCATCCGATTTGCTGTGGCTCCTTTGAGATGGTTGAGGGACTCCATGCGTAAACATTCCTTCAAAGTGATACAAGGCCTAATCTGGTTGGTTTGGAGTTTAGGCTGTTTAGGGTTCAGGGATGTTCAAGGTCCAGAAATCATGCCGCGCTCCTGACGGCCCTCTTAGTCAGGACCATTTTGTTTTTCTCCCAGCACGTGGGGACGTCCTTCATTTTGATAAAGGTGCAGATCAAGCTAGGCTAGAGTCCTGCTGCTACATATCCTGAAAGCGTTTGAGGCCAGGAGTGTTACAAAGGACGCGGGGGCCAATGTATGTTTTTCAAGGTGTTTGATGGTGAAGGCGGACCTAAGACTAGCAGCGAATGCATTACGCTGGTTGCAACGGCGCTTGCGCTGATTCAGGACAAGCCGGACGACTTCATGAACACGCTAATCAACAAGACGCTGGTGTGATGTATGTAGATACGATACTGCCCCATCACAAGAAGATACATGTCCATTTAACAGGTGCTTTTTGCAATAAATTTGGGAGTTGCTTAAACATGGACGTGTCCGCAAGAGGGGTCCATTGTAGACCCCTGCGCGGCTTCAGCCAGATCCACAAGTACAGATTCCTAGGACCAATGCAAAAAATCGTGTGGGGGCAGTAGCCGTGGTGTAGGATTTAGCCATGTCAGTTTGTAAGCTGACGCAGCTTCTCTTCTCCAGAAACTGTGCCAGGCGGTTGAAATCTTGATGGCATTAGCCTTACTAGTAGGAGCAGCAGCACCTGCACGAGCTTTGATCCTATTAGGAAGGTGTGATAACCCCAGGCGCAGCTAGAATTTTTTGTTTTGTCCCTGCAGTTCGCATTGTGTCACTGGTCGTAGTCGGCCACGGTTAATCCCAGACCACACAGCCGCCTCAGCCGGCGCAAATGTACATGGCTCCGCTGCGCTGACCAAAAAGGATATGTTCCGAGCGCCAGGCGTATGTTGAGAACGACAGCGTAGCCACAGCTACGGTGCTACCTTCAGACCTTTTCGAAGCCAAATGCATGGGATTGCTTCAGGTCCTGTCGCCTGGAGGTGCTACTCGGAACATGCCGAGACAAGAGGAGAGAGGCCAGCCTAGCTTATGACAGTGTAAAGCTCGCTGGGATTACACTACGGGATTATACAGGGACCACTGGAGCAATCCATTGTACTTCCTTCCTGGATTTCGGTATGGTTTTAGGAAGAGGTTCCTCTTAGAAGCGCCAGCAAGATGTTGCATTGCAGGCGCTACGTTGGGAGGTCTGGGAAGAGAATTCCTGGGTCCTCGGGGCTGGGTGGGTGTGATTACAACTATAGTTTGATCTTTAAAGGGCCATTGGGACTAGGACTCTTGGTTATTGGGGGCTCTTGACGTAGGGCCAGGGGGACGGACTTATCAGAATGATGGGTTCCTGAGCGGAGGCGATGGGATCATTGTTTTTCAAGGTTAACTACAGTCTACCACAATGCTGGTCATTTCAACATCAAAGCACGTATAGCATGCGGTAGACAGCTTTCATCAACTTGCGGTTCTGCTTTGGATGCCCCCCTTGTAGTGCCTGCGGCTCATTGAATATTATATTCGAGTCTGAAGCCTAAACAAGCCTAAAGCATGTGCAAGAGTTACACGGCTGATCTGGATGGCGTGACGCGCATGTGTCCATTGCCTGCCCCCCAAGATCGTTTGTTTGATGGAACAAAGCTCCAGAATTTGTCAAAACAAATCAAAAATGTCAGGAACTGCTCGCCAGCATCATGAGATTGCAGGACCCCAGACCCTGAACTCATCCTGCTGCCCTCACTCCCTGAATCCATTATGTAAAAACCGATATGATGTCCACGCCGTGCACAGGCTGCACAAAGCATCCTAAACCCGAGAAACAAGGCCTAAGCCCTTGAAACCCTGACTCCTCCCCCTCTCAACAACAAACAGGCCTGTGGGAGCTTACTCAAAACCGCCGTCGGCAGCTGAAGAAGCAGCGCGCCGCCCTATTGGCACCTGCCTTAGCGAGGTTAGCTTTGGCCTTGCTGTGCGCCATGGAAAAGACTGATCAACAAGGTTTGCAGCGAAGGTTGGTTGTGTGACATGTCTTCAGGTCTTCGAGGTTCTTGAATGAGTGTCCACAGATTCCAGGCTTCTTTTTGGGCCCAATGTAGTTCAGTTTGTTGTTTTCCTTTCAGGTTTTTGCTGGGTTGCCCCGATCTCCAGTGGTTCCCAGACTGCTGGTTTTTCCAGCATTCACCTGATCCTTTACACCATCCCCTCACCCCAATTTTCCCGCTGGCCGATTCGATTCTTGTCTGGGTTATTTATTCTTGGTAGTGAGACGTTGTTTTCCGGGGTGCAGGAACCTCGACCCGCAATCGGCGTGGGCTGCACAGGCTACCAGGCTAACTCCCTGAAGCATAGACTGGGAAAATGGGATCTAGTTGGCCCTAAAGCTGGCGCAGAATGAATACTCTCGTCTCATGTTGTTGCTGCTAAGGAATTGCTCAGGGTGGCTGTTGCTACTCCTGGCTGATTCTGTTGTCTCGCATGATGTCTGTGAAGCTGTCCAAGCAGTACAGGTTGAGTTGGAGCGCTGGCGCAACTTTGCTGCATATTTGTTTCATTGGTGGGTGTGCGGTGTTCAGCGCTTTAGCAGTCGGAGGGGCTTGGTGTCAAGTCGTTCTTATGATTTGTTGATCCCTTGGGGCCTTCGGCCTCAAGATCGCACCTCCAAAAAGAGTTGTGCCATGTCGTGCCAGTGCGTTCGCTTCGGCAATGAAGCTATAGCCAGAACCCAGCGATAGCAGAAGAAAGTAGCAGCCGGACTGGCCTCGGGCGGGAAACGGGATGCATTTGGTACTTCCCAATGCCGGAAGAACTCGTTTACGAGCATTCTCAAAGCAATTACCTGCGGGCTACTCTCTATGCATGAGGCCAAGCGTTCACATTTGCTAATTCTACTCCAGAAAACTCACAGCCTTCGCACAACAGGGTCCTTTTGCAATGCTGGATGAGGACTTGAGCTTCTGAACTTTCAGCCGCAGCAGTGCAAGGCAGAATTCGCCCCAAACCCTGGTGGCCCCAAAGTACACCCCCAAATCTCCAACCGCAAACATCAGGGCCATCCAAGCCCAACCCTTTGGCGTCCCCGTTGGAAGGCCTGGATTGCACCGGAGCTTCGGCTCCACAGCGTGCGGCACTGGCGGAGGTGAAGACCGCCTTGGACGCTCGGCAAGGGGTTGGTATGCCTCCAGGACTGCGTCAATGACCTCCAGGTTTGATGCACGACATGCTTTCAGAAAACTGGATCAGAATTATATACAAGGTAGCTTCGGGGCTTGAAGCGGGCTCGGAGCTTAGGGGTCTCGAACAAAGATTTGCACTTATACACCTCACCAAGGCTTTTGCCAATCCTCCTGCTGCCACACTGCATGCACTGCTGTAGTGCCACAAAGGTAACCAATGTGTTGCTGCGTTGGTGTATAAGCTTCCTAGCAAAACATGAAGCGAGCAGTCAACACTGGATGCTTGTTTGGGTGATGTCATTGGATGAGATTGCGCCTCATAGTTGGGCAACTTTCAGAAGCACTGCGCGAAATTATGTTGCCCTGTTATATGTACGGCCATAGCCCCCAACTTGTAGACATCACCTTGCAAGAAGCAACAGCTACCCTGAAGCTGCACAACGGCTCAAGTTGTGGCCCAACGCTGGCCCAGATGAAGATTTTGCACGACAAGTCAAAGCTACGTCTTGACAGCTGTGTATGTTAGTCCACAAGGGATCTTCTAGACGTGCAGCTGGAACCTCGAAGTTCCTGCTGCAGAAAATTGGGACCCCTGATTTGTCCCAAGACTGCCAGGCGGATATACGCAGCTAAGGCTAAGATTGGTTCAGAGTTTACGCAAAGATTCCACCTAGGGAGGTAATTTCTATGTTTCTTTTTGTAGTTAAGTTAAGGTGCACACGGAGCAGAGCGGCAACTAACCACAAAGCCACTTCAACCCCCCAAGCAAGTTGAGCGAAGACCTTCATCACAAACAGGCAGTATCCTGTATTTACTGCTGTTTCTTTTAATTGCCATCATAGGTACGATTACTTTTTGTAATACACCCACCTTCCCAAAAAGGGCCTTCTGTCAGCCATGAAAACACCCTTGGTGTTGGCGTTCTGCCTGCTGGTCGGTGCCCAGGTTCAGCGGGGGACTATACCATGGTAAAGCAAGTTGCAGCCAACAGATATCCCCCCTATAACGGAGAGTAAAATGGAAAAGAAAATGGAAGCTGGAATGGAAAGTAAGGTCCCCAGAGTAGTGAGTAGTGTGGTCAGTGTGGAGATCATGCTTGTTGGTCATTTGTGGAGAGCAGGCCTGAGCAACGAGACCACAATTCTAGAGCTTGTGATGCGGAAGCCTATTGGGCGGTGGCCAAAATAATGGGGTACCTTTTCTTGGTGATGCCCATAATGAGGACTATCGCTTTGGGGAAGCTACCATTCGCTGTACGATTCCGGGCAATGGCTGGATAGATAGTAGGGATTGAACCCTTCCCTAAGCAAACCTGGATCCACTTCAGGTTCCCCATGTAAGGATCGAGGCTCCCTTTTGTGGTTGCACACTAATTTTTTGCTAAGCGAAATCCGCTGTACTGCGGGTCCTGACCAATGTTGGGGGCCTGGGAAAAGGAAATGTCCAACACATCTCGGTGAGTCTGGGTTATTTTCTGGTCCCCATCACACTCAATGCTGTCAGGGCTGCGGTCGTTTGAGTCTAGCTCAAAGGAGAATGAGACGGGTCGACGAAAAAGTATTGCATGGGCAACTTGTTTGTCTTCATTGTCCCCAAAAAAAACACGCCGCAGCAAACGGTTTACAGATGCTAATTCTGTTAGGTATTCCCGCGCTGACGGGGATGCAATTCGCCAATTTGTTATCATATTGCTCGGCAGTCAGCAAGGGTTTCTTCAGTGCTCCTTGCAGGAGCCACCAACTTGCTGCCGTGCTGGATGCTGGTGCGATCTCTCTCTGCATCCAAGCCTCGATGAGCTCATTCACGGCACCTTGAACTTCAAAGGGGTTTGCTTGAGCTGTTGGGCTGAAGAGCCCTCCTTCTATAGTAGGACCGTTGATGTTGCTTGCTCCCATGCTTCCCTTGCTTGCTTCATTGTTATCATTGAAGGCCTTGGCTACGATCGGTGTTTGGATGACGGATTCTGCGAGCCCTGCGGAGAAGTTGAGATGCAAGCTGCGCACTGTGGGGCTACTGGGTATCTGGGTGAAAGGCCGGTAGGAATTTTGGGGTGGTATTTATTCTGAGGGTTGGGCTAACCAAGGCACCTCCCCTTAAGGAGGATTGTTCACAAGATCCATCTACTTCACCTCCACGATGGGCTCAGGTATCGACAGAAAGTCGTCTGCTTGCGCTGCCAGGGTGAAGGACTTTACCTTCCATATT